CAAATGTTAAAAATATAATAAAATACTATAAAAAAGAATTTCCCTTTTTTTTTCCCCTTCTCTCAGTTTATGTTCATATACATTTATGGATGCATTTGTTTATACAATTCTCTCTCTCTCTTTCTTTTTTTTTTTTGTTTCAGAATCTGAAGAAGATGACTAGAAGTGACTCATCTTTGTGATGGTGATATCTTCTTTCCTCAATTCCTAACAACCCTACTGCCACTGGGGAAGGGGGGGGGGGCTCAGATCATCTATTAAAATAAAAAGTCACTTGGCAACCAGGTGATGTTTTCCTAGGCAGAAAGAAGCATTCTTTCTGCTGTTTTTATTTTACATTTGAAACTGTGTATGTAGGAAAGACCAAAGTAGTTTTATGCTTTTAATACTATTTAAAATGAAGTTTGTATCAAAATATTTTTGTAAGGTGGCTCTGAACATATTGCTGATTATAAGTAAATGGCATAATTACATTTAATTCCATTGTGTACAAGAAATTTTGGCTCAATAGTTAAGAAAAAAAAATCTGAGATGAGATTAAAATAAAGTATGAAAAAAACTAAAGCATCACAAAGTGTACGTGATGCTTATTTTGAAGTCTTTTTATTTTCATATGGTGGTATTATATCATGTTTTTATAATGAATTGGCTATGTGTGGTTTTGGTGTTCAAGGGTTTTTTAATCAGAAAAGTGTCATTAATGTGAACAAATAACTGTTAGAAATAATTTTGAAATAATTTATGCACATTGTACTTTCAGTATTTAAAGCAACCTAAACCAGAAATTACAGGTCTTACAAATGTCAGTAATAACTTTAGAAATGTGAAAGGTTTTTCATGTTGCTCTTTATTCTATGATCCAAATGATTTTTGGTTGGTTATTTTAATGAAATATTTGATTTCCTCTAGAATGAAAATGATAAGTTCTATGCTCAACAAAATGTTTTACCACTTATATGACAAATATATTAAGCAGGACACTTTTCAATTTGTAATTGATTTTACTCGTATTTATAACAAAGAGCACTGTTTGAACCTGATTTTTGTTCATGTTTTCACGTTGAATTTTGATCTTTGTCATGGTTAGTAATCTGTACTATCGCCTAATACTAATTATTCAGTAGTTACTTTATGTATTACATTCCAATTACTCTATATCATACCTTTTAGCTGCTAATGTGTTACTGCTGTCTATTTGTGGTGGAAGATGCTGGAATTCTTTTCTGATTATTTTTGTTATAAATGCTGCTGTGCTATCTACTCGACTGAAGATATAAAATAATTATTATCTAGTAATAATAAAACATGAGTTACAAGGTAATTAACTCGTTAATTATACTAACCATGACAACAGTTGATATTCAATCACATGACCTTACTGTAACTCAAACTTAATTTGTACATCATTAATAATAGTCTAGTTGCTTAACATACCTCATTTCTACATAATCTGATGACTGTTAGTCATAGGAGCACTATCTGTATCCTATTATTAATATCTAACTTCACTGTGACTCTCATGATTGTTAGTCAGAGCAACAACATTTATATGTAAGCTATTTTTTCTCATGTTCTCTATAAAGAATTTGAAACATACTTTAATGTATGACAAAATTACATTTGCCATGCACATTATCATGTATAAGCAATGAGATGGGTTCATCAATAAGATCATTATAAATAATAGAAGAATTAGGCTTAAGTGAGTAAGAATATTAAAAATATATTACAACCTCACTGTAATTAAATTATAAAATGAATGTTACAGAAAGTTACTTGTTTTTCAGAAGAATATATAAACTTGATACATATATTTCCTACAGATTCAACAATGTAATACTAAGCTTTTTCTCTCTTTTTTTATACTGAGATCTCCAGCTTTGCTGTCATTTCTACATAATCTGATGACTGTTAGTCATAGGAGCACTATCTGTATCCTATTATTAATATCTAACCTAACTGTGACTCTCATGATTGTTAGTCAGAGCAACACTAGTCTTTATCCTACTATTATTATCAGCCCTCATTCTCATGACTGCTAGCCATAGCAGCTGTATCCTGTATCTTAATATCAATATATACCCTCACTCTCATTACTGTTAGCCACAGCAGCTCTCTTCTGTATTCTACTATCAATATCTACTCTCACTCTCATTACTGTTAGCCACAGCAGCTCTATCCTGTATCCTACTATCAATATCTACCCTCACTCTCATGACTGTTGGTCATAGCTACATTTTTTTCATGTAGTAAACACCTACTCTCACTTTAATAACTCTCAGTTATAGTAACACTTGTGTTTCCTACCACAAACAGCCACTCACACTGTAATGACTGTTTGTCACAGCACTTTCTATTTTTTCTATGTAGTAAACACCTACTCTTACTTTAATAACTCTCAGTTATAGTAACACTTCTATTTTGTACTGTGAAAATCCACTCTGACTCTCATGCATGTTGATCAGAGCTACACTTCTGTGTGTTTACCATGAACACCTACCCTCACTTTAATAATTGTCAGTCATAGCAGTGCTTGTGTTTCCTACTGTGAATGTCCACTCTTACTCTAATGGCTGTCGGTCACAGCACTTTTCTGGTTTTTAATGTGAATTATTGTGTATGTGATTCTCATAGAAGTTATTATTTGGTGTGTGTCTTCAGTAGACAATTTAAGAATTAACAAATTCAGGCTTGCTTTAGTAAATTTTAATGTGAGCACTATAATTAGCTCAAACTCAGGGCAACAACGTTTTGTCATTTTGAAAGTTTTAGAAATAAACTGCATATATCATTCCTTGTTTTGTATCTTTCGGATACAAAGCTGTTGTGTATGCTCTCAGGATAGCATGTAGTCATAAAATATTACATTGGAACCATTAATACGTTCTTTCATCAGTTAAGTGTATTGTCCTTTTACTATTAGTCCTTGTGTTGTGACTACAACTTTCAACCATATGCTTGTCAGTTGGTTTTGTATTGAGCTACAAATCTCTCAAGTTTTCAGCCTTTCAAACCATATTCTGTACACTGACTGTTATGGTTGTTAAATTTGTCTTTATAAGGAATAAATTGTCTTTGTTTTTTTCAGCCATGTTCTTCACCTCAGTCGAGTTAAACTTACCCCAGGAAATTTTCTATGCTGTTTTCTTTCTTTTACTGTTATTAGCTTACACTTTCACCTTCAAAAAATATAAGCAGATAGTTTGACCCACATTTTCTATTATGAACTTGGCTGTTAGATTTACTTATTATGACATTAGATTTTATTTAACATAAATATTTCCTTTTTTATACACACACTTTGAAGTATCTTATGGGTTTGTATGTGGATTAAAATATACATTTTATGAGATTTTTTTCTTGAAAACTTTTCTCTTTTTCATCACCAGTTGATTCTCCAGCCTCAGTCATACACATTGTATGTTTTTGGTATGCTTTTTATGTGTATTTTATTGATATTTAGGTTGTTAATTTTTCCATTGAATCAATTGATACTTGATATCTTTACCACACCAATAAATTTGCTATTAAGCATAATTTATTTTAATAACATTATTTTTCATAAAAGCAATATCTTTTGTAATATTATTTAAAGAGGGATCTCTGATATGGATGATGGTACCAGATTTACTGAACATTCTTCCATATTCAATATTTTTTCACATGTAACCCTATTCCATTTTAGCCATAATAAAATTTTTACTTTGTGTGCTAATTTGTCTTGTTTGGTTTAATGAAAGCCCATGTCTTATAAAGTCATAACATTCGTTTATTTTCTATACTAGGCCAGGCATGGCTAAGTGGTTAGCTGTTGGACTATAGATGTGAGGGGGGCCATTTTCTGCGTCCTGTTGCTGCAGAAAGAAAATATAAATTTTGTTCAGTACTTTGGAACCATGGGTGCATTATAAAAGTGATGTTCAAACCCCACTATTCAGTTATAGTATCCCAGGATTGGTGGTGGGTGCTGTTTATTAGCTGTCTTACCTTCAGTCTGCCGGTTCAAAAATTAGAGACAGATAATACTAATACCCTTTTACCCATTACATAGCTTTCCAAGAGTATTCAAACCAAATCAGCTTCATATACTGCCCCAAGGACAACTCTAAAACACGTTAGTTACTTTAATACAACAATTTTTTTTTCAATTAGCCCTTCAACTAGTAACGTGTAAAATTCTAACCTTTATATACCCCTCTTTTATTGTAAACCCTTGACCTCAGGTATTGGCTCTTGAATTTATTGGAAAATTTATTATTAAACAATGGTATGATGTTGCAAATTAAACTTTTATACCAATTATTAGTGAGAATTGTATGCTATTTGAATGTGAAGGTTTGAAATACCCTGTAGTGTGTAAGCTTCACTGATGTAACATACATCATGAGAATTTGTAAAAATTTTAATTACCTTGTAACTTTTGTTGATAGCTTAGAGAAAGAAAAAGAGTGCAGGTGAAATGTTAAAACAGTTTATAGGTATCAAAGAGATCATTGCTTTAGTACAATACATTACGTGGGTTGGGTGTTGCTGCAGAGCTAGGGTTAGGAGTTCGATATGATGGTGTTGAACACACTCTGCACCTTCAGCTCAAGGAACTCTGTGAAAGTAACAAAACCAGTCCCATTATTTATTCCTAGAGTAAGATACAATACTTGTAGCAGGAATTTTACTAGCTTGTTATTTTCTCTCTGGTCAATAGTTTAAAGTTAGGGATGACTAGCCTAAAATTAGAGATATCTCTAATAATCTCCTTATCTCTCATGCACATAAAATGCTTTTCTTCAGGTTGAAAATTCCAATACATTAAATTGGATCAACTATTGTCAACTTGAAGCTACTTTGTTTATACCTATTATGGAGCATGTATTTTCCACATTGGAGAAGGCATGTAAGCTTAACCTGAGATGGGAATATTGATTATTATAACAACCTGTAATAGTTCCCTGTATTTACTCACATTGAAACCCAGATAGATTTAAACTACAGCTAAAGTTGAAACCACTTGGACTAGTGAAGTTATAAACAAGCCATTTCTTAATTGTTATAAAAAAAAAAGTGTTTTTTGTTTCTCATACTGGTAAACAAATCTTGTCATGTCCCAACCTACCTTAACCATTGTAGATTATTGTGTTACATTTTTCAGTAATCATTGTATAAAGGACCAACGAGGGGTTCAAGCAGGAGACTGAATTTTAATAAAAAATTAACAGATGGAATTTAAATAAATATAACTTAGACTACCTCAAACAAAACAAGACATTTTTAGTGGATAACTAATATGATAAAACATTACCTTAGTAATGGGGAATATCATATTTGTATATTTTGGTGCCCTTTTTCTCAGTTACCAGCTACAAAGAGAATGTATATTGTGAATACAGTTTTTCTGTTCAGATTTGTTCCAGGCACTGAGAGAGAGAGTTCTTTTCCTGGTATTGAAAGAGTCAACAACTCCATAAAAGCCCCATCTTTCAAGTTAAGTTTGTTTCAGTAGACTTTAATTCCAGATACAGTTTATTCCAATTTATTTACTCTATAAAGCAATAATCCTGCTGCTGCTACTAAGGACGATCAGCATTTCAATCAGCCATTCTTGTACACTTGCTCTAAATAGAGTATTTCGAATCGCTCGGACTTCAATACCATGTATTGTGGGAGTTTACCTGCAACAAATTGCTAAACCTGTCTTTTTGCATATTATATATCCATGTATCTTTTGATTTATGCAGAAATTGAGTAAGTTTGAGATAGATATATCCTTTATTTATTATTTATAACGTCCATCAAATAAATGTGGGTGCCTGTGACCAAGATCTAATCATTGCAAAATTGTTATTTGATTTGTGTCTCAAAATTACTCCATGTAATTTTTTCACTCTTGTGCTTCTCATAAGGTATAAACTACTATATATGCCTTTGTATACAAGAAGAAAGTTCAGCAGGAAGGAGGAGAGCCATATTGATCCGATGGTGAGGATGGAAGATATCTTGATAACTCGAGGTTGTTTATGTTGAATGTTCCCTTGTACTCCACTATGCTTCATGTGTCAAACACCTACAGAGACAAGTGAACCGTGATAACGTCAACTGAGTTCAAAGCTACAGGTGCAAAGCAAAGCCACCATGAAAAAATTGCCAACCGTGGATTCACTGAGATATCTGTAAACTGTGGAGATTGACATCCAGCATAGTTGATGTCCCTTGCTGAGGAAAGGTTTTAGAAGTAACAAGAAACGAGCTGCAGTGAGAAGACAGTGTTCTCCAGCCTGACCTTTTTCTCCTCTGGGCAGAATGACATCATGTCCATTGCATCGTGTACCACATATTCGTCAGGAGCCATCTTGTAACGCGAGAAAAAGTCTTAACACCAGGTGCCAACTAAAACCACGTGTTTGAGCGTACTTGAATAGTGATGATGCTGTCATGACAAAACGATGTTTACAGCAAACATGAGCAGAAATTGAACATTTGACTACGTCCAAATTCGCATAACCAACGACATCGACCTACGGCAGGGAGCAAGAAGCAAATTAAAAATTACGATAGTAGTTAACCTAGAAATGAAAGAGCCTTACATCCCTCATTTTTCGAGCTATCAGATGATGTTTTATGATAGGATGTGTTGATCACATCATGCAATAGCCACTTGATTAATCTAAAGTTAGGACAATGGGTTCAAGTTCACTAGATTAAGCGCTTAAAAGGAGCTGCTACCGTTACTTTTTGAGCTACCTAGTGAAAAGACGTAGAATTTTTGGCAGCGTATATGTATGTTTAATTAGATGTATGTACTAGTACATTTATTGAATTTCTGCAACATGTAGCAAAATTGCATTTACTCGTTTATACGTTTATTGAAATTCACCAGGTTTCAACTACTAGGACATATAATTTTAGTACATATAATACCTGGAACATCATCAATTTGTATGCCTAAAAATTATAGCTAGGAATCCGGAAACATGCACAGCCATTGGGCGGAATTTCGCATTGAAATATTTGCATAATATAGCGTGTTATTTACTCGGTTTTAGTTTGTGTAATGAGAGAGTATAGATCACTGGAAACTAGAACGTTAAGCAGCTTGCAGGCTGCCAACAGTCTTGGGTACACCTAAATTCTATGTTCGTAATCTTCCTCTATTGTTATCTTGATTGTTTTGAAGGGTGAGATGAGAATAAGCTCAACGTGTATGTAAATACTATTCCGGAAGAATTTTAATCCATCTTTTTACATTAAAAAATGTTTATAAGCGTGCTTTGAAATAAGTGACAAGTCTGCATACTGCAATCTTACATATTCCAAGAAAATTGTTTGGACATACGAATAAAGTCTGCTTAGTGGTTTTTGTTTTATCTTATCTGTGTAAGAAAGATAGATAGACAGAGACAGAACACTATTGAGTGGTGTTTATAACTTGGATCGCAACATGAACTAATTGTGATTTCCGCTAGAAAAGCCCGGCATGGCCAGGTAGTTAAGGCGCTTGACTCGCAATCTGCGGGTCGCGGGTTCGAATCCCCGTCACACCAAACATGCTCGCCCTTTCAGCCGTGGGGCGTTATAATGTGACGGCCAATCCCACTATTCGTTGGTAAAAGAGTTGGCGTTGGGTGGTGATAATTAGCTGCCTTCCCTCTAGACTTACACTGCTTAATTAGAGACGGCTATCGCAGATAGCCCTCGTGTAGTTTTGCGCGAAATTCAAAACAAACAAATCCGCTAGAAAGAAGTGCAGGGAGATAGTATATTTTTACTGCTTTTACTCTCGAAAATTTCTAGCTTGACAATTGATCACTTTTTTTGTGTACCCATTTTAACGTTGTGTGTTACTTATTATTTAAACAAGATACACAAGCGCCAAGAATCAATATTTAGCTGTTTTTCGGCTCCTTTTTTTTCCTGTTGGTTTGACTTTAAGAAAGAAATATAAAATACAGGCAAAAAAAAAACCAGGAGATGTGAGAGCAAACGGATAAACCATAAGAAGGGGAAGGAAAAAGAAGAATACTGCTAGTAAGAAGCAGTGTTATTGATATAGGAATAAACAGAAATATGTTAGGTTTAAATTTGGTACGAGTCAATTCCTGAGAGAAATAAGTACAACCTCAATAAAGTTGAAGGGAAAACGAAGTGTGAGTACAGCACGATTATATCAAAAAGGTGTTAAAACGATTGCAATGTAGATATGGCACAGCCTCCGTGTCCTGTTCAGATCTTTCAGTATGTTGATGATACGGCCAAAGTGGCCATATGAAAATCCGCGAAATCATGAAAGTAATTTCGATTTTGGGTCAAGATTATACGTGAAAGAAGATAATTTAGGGGAGTAGAATGGTGTAATTTTGTATCAAGCAAAACACGGAGAGAAAACCACGGACGGTTTTAACACAAACCAACGGCCAGTGTAGTGGCTAACTGCTTGACCACGGTCACCATTAAATGTGGTTCTACGAACAGCTGTCATTCACTTACTTACTACACTCAATACACAGAAAACCGAAATAGTTTATTATTGAATTTCGCGCAAAGCTATCTCAGGATTATCTCTGTTAGCCGTCCTTAATTTAGAAGTGATATAATAGATGGAAGGCAGCTACTCAAGACCACCCGCCGCAAACATTTGGGTTAATCTTTTTCCAACGAAAGGTGGGATTGACTAAAACAATGTAACGCCTCAACTGAAAAGGCGAGGATTTTCGGTAACAGGAT